TCCTGTGAACCAGCATTTTTTAAAGAAGTGATGAATGTATCCAAGTGATTCTGTCATTCACTCCTTAATTTCTTTTGTTACTTACATATGAACTGATACAGTTTAGCTTCATGCTGTAGACTTATGAATGGGGGATACTTTCAGTTGATAGCGTATAGTATTCATTAGGCTCATTAAAAGGTTTTATGTTTTGTTTTTCTGTTTTTTTTACTCACGTGAGTATTACTGTTTGTTATAAGGTGCCTCAAAATTCTAAAATTGAAGCTCTTCTTTGCACAAAGAACAGAGGCCAGAAGACTGATCAAATGTTGATTCCTATCTCTTAAAGAAGCAAAATATACTGAACCGTCTTCACAGCTTCCATGTTATACTGGAACATGGGACCTAACTCAAATGATGTATCAGAGAACATGTAGTAGTCACTAGGAAGCAAAGCAAGGAGCAGAGGTCTGCTTATTTATATTATAATGTTTGCAGTCAGACCTGCTTTGCTGTTGGGATTTTTTCAGATTTTAGAAGATAAATACAATGCATGTAGTATTTATTAAGCAATTCCCTTTGGGTCCAAGTCAATATTCTCTAATCCAACACATTAATATTTCTGTGTTATTTCAAGAGTCACATTGGCTCAGGTTGGTGCTTGTCAGGTTTTGCTGTTGGGTAAATAAATTGCCAAAAACAGCAAAAATCTTTGTGTTTTCAGAGCATTGTCTGCCTGTACTTGATAGTTTCCAAAGAACACTAGGAGTGTGTGATGATACCCTTTTTTTTCCTTAAAATTATGAATCTATGATGAAGTCATTTCAAGTTGTTTTTTCACTTAGGTAGCATATCATGCAACCCATTTCTTGCTAATATGCGAGAATCAGAGCCAGAAGTCAGTCACCGAAGCAGAAGAGTTCCCTTCAGTACAGCTATGGAAAGTACAGAACAGTATTTTGCAGATATTTCTTGAGAACTGTGGTGAATCTGTTATTCTTCCTATTTCCTAAGAGAGAAGGCCAGTACTTGGAATGAAAGTACTTGAGGAATTTTCCTGGGAGTCCATCATCCCCCCTTCATTTTGGCTTTTAGACCAATTTAAGATTATCGTTTTTTACTTCAAATGTTGCTTAATATTACTGACCTTTTTTGGTCTTTTTTAAGACAGGATCTCCCTGTAGCTCCAGCTGGTCTGGAACCTATTATGGTGAGAAGGCTGGCCTTGAACTCACAGAGATCCACCTGCCTCTGCCTCCCGAGTGCTGGAATTAAAGGCATATGCCACCATGCCCAGCATCCGAGATTTTTTTTTTTTTTTAAAGCACTGCTATGTTTAAAATTTACTGAACCTTCTGTTTAGTCTGTAGAATGCAAGAATGCAGAAGCACAGACTGAGTAACTTCTGGTAGTATGTTTCAGTGAGCACTTCTGACATGCATTGAGCTCATCTGAGTAACTGGTAAAAGTGTTCTGCTAATGAAGCAGTCGAGCCAGTTCAATCATTAGTGGAATATTTCTTTATGTTCTGAAAGTTGAGAAGCTGCAGTATATGTAATTTTATAGCTTCTAGTTAACAGTCTGAAGTTCTTGCAAATGTTCTTACGTGTTTTGCTTCCTGATGCTTGTTGGAACAGAGAAAAATTGTCATCATTTTAGAAGTGCTGCTCCCAGGGGTGCTCCGTCTTCTGTTGTGGGATACTCTCTCCGTTTAGGAAAGCAGGTGTGGTTCTGCTGAGTTGCTTACTTGTGACAGGGCAAGGAATTTAATAATTCATCATAAAATCCACATAGTGGTGCTAAGAAGAGCAGGGACAGCTGTAAACTCCAGACAAATTGCTCTCATTGCAGGAATTTCCAATTAGTCTGTGTATGAAGTGTGCACAAGTTGAACTCAGAATTTCCCTTCAGGCATCTTCTGTGTACATCTGGACAGTGATAGTACTTGATGCATTTTTTCTTAACTTCACTAGCAGTCTACAACATTATCAGTTTTATTCTTTGCAGTTTGAGACATGGAAATACAAGATTATAAATGTGAGAAACTGCTTTTCTATTGAAAGGTTCAGACAGAAAAAAATGAATCAGAAAACACATTAAATTTAAATAAATAAGGCAGTATGAAGGAAAATACATAGAAAATTGCTTTTGTAAAGGAAGTGGATAGGCTAGAAAGAGCAACTGGAATGGCAGCGGGAACTGCCACCTCACAGAAGAGGCAAGGGACTTACTTGCTCATGCTCTGTCTGGTCACAGTGAATTCTAGGAATACTAAGTAAATTAAAATTTCTTATTGATGTTAAAGAAGAAGTAGTAGTATATTGACATCACAGTCTTTTATCTAGCACTTCAAAGGAGTGGATCAATTTTAGCAGAAAAATTTTCTTTTTTAAATATTTTATTTTTGCTGGGTATGGCAGTACATGCCTTTAGTCCCAGCACTCTGAAGGCAGAGGCAGGCAGATCTCTGTGAGTTCAAGCCAGCCTCGTCTACAAAGTGAGTTCTGGGTCAGCTGGGGATACAGGGAGACCCTATCTCAAAAAGACCAGAAATTTTTTTTTATTTTCTTGTGTATGAGTGTTTTGCCTCAGTGTCATGTAATATCCCTGGAGGCCAGAAGAGGGCATCAGATCCCCTGGTACTGGAGTTACAGACACTTGTTAGTTGCCATGTGGGTGCTGGGGATTGAACCTGGTTCCTTTCCAAGAGCAGCCAGTACTCTTAACCACTGAACCATCTCTCCAGCCCAAGCATAAGAATTTCTGAATTTACATTTTATAACTTGTCACTTTGGCATCAGATTACTAATTCTGCTGTTTTCATTGAGGTAGCACTCTTAGATGGTTTTGGCTTTGGGTTTTAGCTATTCTTTTTACCAACTGTAATTAGAGGAAAATTTTCAACACTGTAACTTAGTTCTATTGAAAAAGAAGATTTAAAAATATCACCAAACTCTTTCCATCCCTCTTGATTGCTCACCAGAACTAGATATGACCCTGTTGCTGAAGGTACCACATACTTTGGTTATAAGAAATGGTGGAAGTGGCTAGTTTTCACAGGGATGGAATGTGCTCTGCAGGCTGCTGGGGGAGGCAAGGCATCAGCAGTCTTACTTAACTGTGAACCCTATGAATTTCAATACCAGCCCTCCAGCCAAGATGTGCAATAGTGACACTACTGGTATAGGGGTAACCAACCACTCTGATTGGCTTTGAAGCCCACTCCACTGGAAGAAACTCATGCATATACTGTAAACCCAGTCAAAAGCATGACTGGGGAAGTTATAGGTTCTCATAAGGAACTTATTACTGTTTTAAAATTGAAATAGCATCAAACTGCCTTTTCAGTGTGTTTATGCCAATAGACAAATCTTGCTCTTGCCTGAATGAGAGAAGCTACTCTGCAGTGAATGCAGAGACTCATGGCTGCTCAAGGTGCTAAGAATAAGAAATTCTTGAGTGCTCAGCTCTAAACAAGACATGCCCATTCCCTCAAAGGCTTAGGGAACAGCATGAAAGAGGAGGCAGAAGAAATGGAGGAAGAAGGGCTACAGAATACCATCTCCTGGGCACAGTACATGTTCAGCTAAGTTTCTAGTTACAGGTGCACCACTAGGAAACTGAAATGAGTTGCCTTTCAGTGCTTTCGTGTTTAAAAAGGAGTTAGGTAGTCTGTAATATTTCTGGCACACAAGTCTTTTTACAGTTTAATACTGACCACAGCTCTTGCACAATATTCCCCTACATCTTTTAAAGTTTTTCATTTTTCTATGTTTCATTTTATTTTTATGATATCATTACTGCACACCATAAACTATGTAATTCCAATAAAGTCCTTGATTCACAGTTCTGTATGAACATAACTTTCAGATTCACATTTTATAGAAATTACTACAATGTAGTCAACAGAAAGATATGAAAAGACATTTTAGGGGCTGGGCAGATGACTCAGTTGGGAAACCAGTTGCCTTTCAAGCTTAACCTGAGTTAAATTCAGAGCTGATATAAAAAAGCCAGGCCTAGTGGCAAGTGCTTGTCATCTCAGTGCTAAGGAGGCAGAGACGGGCTGGTCCCTGTGGTCCCCTGGCAAGCCAGACTCACCTATTTGGCAATTCCCAGGTCAGCAAGAGATCCTGCCTCAAAAGAAAGGTGGGCAGTGCCTGAGGAAGAAATGCCTGTTCCCTCACCTCCACAGGCATGTGCACACAAGTGCGTTCACACACACCCAAATGTGCACACATGCACATAAACACACACAAAACACATTTTAGCACTTACTGATGAGTGGGTTTATTCAGAATCAAATACTTAGTTTTCAAATGTGCATCTGTATCTGAAGCCTTAAGCCTTTAGTAAAGTACATTGAGAGATATTTCAATTTAGTGGGTTACATTTTCATGTGGAGTATATTTCACATGATTGTTATAAGCATTAGCTGTTTAGTCATAGATTATATATAAACATTGGATAGTTTGTACTCTATAGTTTCTCGTATTCCCTCCCCTTCATTTTTTTATTTCAGTACTACTTCATGAGGTAAGTATAAGTTTCCTTCACTGAAGCATTTTTCCATAATAGCGTTTTAAGATCTGTTTTTAAATTAACTTTTATCTGTCAGTTAGAATAAGGTCTTCTATTTGCTCTTGCTTTTGAAGTCTTTTACTAATATTTTTTAGGTATACCTTCTTTTGTGAAACTAAGGATTTAAGTATTTTTTGAATTTAGTATTTTATTTTATTTGGTCTTTTTGAGACAAGGGTCTCCCTGTAGCCCCAGCTAGCCTGGAACTCACTTATGTAGTCCAGGCTGGCCTTGATCTCATAGAGATCTGCCTGCCTCTGCCTCCCAAGTGCTGGGATTAAAGGCATGTGCCACCACACCAGGCTTAAATTTAAGTATTATATCTGTTCTTGTTAATTAAAAAATGAGAGGTCAGATGCCTAATGTGTAGAAAAAAATATGTTGTTATTTCACACACCTTTTGTCATTATTAACAAGGATTGCATTGTTGTTTTTTTTAGGTGATGTTTGGAGACAGTAAAAGTAGACTGTCAAGGAATTCAGACCAACGAATTCAAACCATTGTTACGTGAACCAACTTGAAGGGTCTGATACATTGGGTCAGCTGCCATCATAAAATGAAAGTAAGTGTTTGAAACTTAAGCTAGAAGATAGAAGCTGATAGTTAATGCACTTCCATTTAAACAAAAATGCATTTTTTAACTTAAGACACTAGAATCAGACAGTGGAATAGTATCACATTACATGCTTCTCCTCCCACCCAGTTTCAAACATGCTGGGCCAGGTAGGAATAGTAATGTGCAGGGGCAGTTGAAAAAAGATGCAGGATGTCTACATATACATACACATAATGCATACACATACATGCACAGTTACATAGATATAAACATCAGTGCTGACATAAACCTTTTGAGTGTGCACATTAAAAAGAAAAAATAAATTGTGTTGGAGATTGGAATGCTGTTCTCCTCAGGGAGCATGTGTCCCGAGGGTGACAAGGAAGGCCAGTGTCTCCTTCCTTCTGTCCTCCTCAGTTCCTTCATGGCTGTTCAAAATGTAAACCTTTTGTTGCTTGTTCCATATGTGCAGATGGACTCTGTATTTTATGTTTTACTTTAACTTAAGATACTCATTTATTCAACAAACATGTATTGTAGTCTTACTACATTGGAGTGGCTCTTTAAGTACATGGAGCAAAATAATGAAAAAAACAGAAATCCTTGTTTTCATTGGGTTATATCCTGATGTGAGAAAGCAGAAAGTCATGAACTTAAAAAAAATGTATTTGTATATATTTTTTTGTGTGTATGAGTGCTTTGCCTGCATGTATGTAAGTGTACCTGTGTTATGCAGTGCCCACAGAGGACAGAAGAGGGTGTTGGATCCCTCAGAACCTGAGTCATAGACGGTTGTTAAGCCACCATGTGGGTGCTGGGAACAGAACCTGGGTCCTCTACAAAAGCAGCCAGTGCTCTTGTCTGCTGAGCCATCTCTCCAGTCCTTTTTTTTTTGGTCTTTTTGAGACTGTCTCCCTGTAGCCCCAGCTGTCCTGGAACTCACTATGTAGACCAGGCTGGCCTTGACCTCACAGAGATCCGCCTGCCTCTGCCTCCCAAGTGCTGGGATTAAAGGCGTGCACCAGCCCTTTTTTAAAAATCATATTTTTATTACAAGTGTTGATTCCTGTTTTTTGGCTTTTTTTTTTTTTTTTTTTTTTTGAATATGTGTGTAGTGCCCGCAAAGGCCAGAACAGGGCGATAGAACCAGAGCCGCCATGTTGATGCTAGAAGTTGAATTCCGGTTCTCTGGAACACTTGAGCTGTTTCTTCAGCCTTTATATTCTTATGTTGGGTTATACCCCCAAATGTTTTCTAATCTAGTGAACTTCTGTCACTACCAAAACTGAGTGCAAGCCCCTCATCATCATCATCCAGTGCTGTGTGCCACAGTGATTGCTTCCTGCTGAAGATCTCATGTTAGCTTACTATACATGCCAGTCGTTTGTTGCTTGATCATATTTAGGAAACCCTCTGATTCATGGCTTCAGCATTTTTGGCTATTCTTGTTCACAACAGATGCTGCGGAGATGTGTTAAAATCATTAGCACAGATTCAGTCTGTCTTCCTAATATAGTCAAAATAATTGCCTCACTTGTAAAAGAAAATGTGGGTAATTGTATCTGTCTCTTCTGTGTCTGTCTGTCTCTCTTTTTCTCTCACACACATGTGATCTGGTATGTTCAATGTACAAATTCTTGAATGAACAGACCAAATAGAATTGACCATGTGAAGATCTTAAGCTCCTTGAGGAATCTTTTCTATTTTCTGTGTCCTTCTGAACAAGGACTACCCTACAAATGATCAGTAAATTATTTATGTTATCGGTGAGTTAAGTGAATCTTGTACTATGTGTATGATGGCATTTGGGGGTAGAGGGTGTTTTTGGGGATTCAGGGCCTCTTGCAGGATGAGCACATGGCTATAATGAGCACTGGGCTTAAGGTTTTGGTATAACGCTTTATAGAACTTATATCATGGCTATTGAGCAATTTTACTTCATTGTGTTTATTTATTTTTTAAAGATTTATTGACTGTGTATGTGAGAGAGAGGAACAAGATAAGACTTTGCCTAAGTTTTGCTTATAGATTAGTCTAGTTTACACTATTTAAAAAAACTCAATAGTAAATTAAGATTGCTTGACAGTTTAGTTATCATAATGTTGAACTCAAACTTCAGGAGTTGATGGTACTGACCTTTCTATTGAAAATAATTTTTTAAAAATATTTTATTTATTATTTTTATTTTATGTATATGAGTATATTGCCTGCATGTATGCGAGTGCACCCGTGTTGTGCAATGCCGCGGAGATCAGAAGAGGGCTTTGGATTCCCCTGGAACTGGAGTTAAGGATGGTTTATAGCTGCCATGTGGATGCTGGGAATCAAACCCGGGTCCTCTGCAAGAGCACTGGCTGTTTTTACAGGGGACCCGGGTTCAAATCCCAGCACCCATGTGGCGGCTAACAACTGTCTAAAACTCTAGTTCAGGTGCACTTGAACACATGCAGGCATAACACTCATATACATTAAGTAAATAAATAAATAAATTTAAGAAAATAATTTTTTAAGTGTCTTTCTCATGAAGGAGACAAGCAGGGAAGTTTGTAGAATGTTAATCATTGTTTGATTTTGGCTAGTTGTATAAAAATTTTTACCTAAAGGGTCTGGAGAATTAAGATGCTGCCTTAGTGGTTAAAAGCACTGACTGCTCTTACAGAGGACCCAGGTTTGAGTCCAGCACCCACATAGCAGCTAACAACCATCTGTAACCCCAGTTTCAGGGGAATCCAACGCCCTCTTCTGACCGCCACAGGCATTGTATAACACGGGTGCACATACATGCAGGCAACACAGTCATATACATAAAATAAAAATAGTAAGTAATAATAAAAGTAAAATAATAAAAAAATAATAAGTAAAATCTTAAATTTCACCTAGAAGTATAAATTAATGTTTTGCTTTCTTTTAATGCATTTGGACATTTTCATTTGGAAAATCTGTCTTTTAATCTGAAGTCTTACCAGTCTTAGGGTCCATGAAGTTACTGTTTGTGCTTTGGTTCTTTTTCAGATGTCTTGACAAATGATCTATACCTTAAAATTAATTTTTTGTTAATTTAGAACCTAACATACTCCTGTTCACATCAGACATTGAAATCATGTTTGTTGAGAATAAAGATGAAATTCTATAAATTTGTTAAAATCATTTTCTCCTAGCTGTTTATTTTATCCAGATTTAGTAACCTTTATTAAATGTGTGTATTTCATAAGCCAAAGGAAATAGTGTAGCATGTAGGATTTGCAGCTACAAGGTCTCTGGGCCCTGGTCCTCTTTTTCCAGGAGCCCTTGACAAAAATGATGCTCTGTGAATTAATAACTCACCACACAAGAATAAAACATGAACTGGGGGGCTGGAGAGATGGCTCAGTGTTTAAGAGCACTGACTGCTCTTGCAGAGGATCCGGGTTCGATTTCCATCACCCATGTGGCGGCTACGAACCATCCAGTTCCAGGGGAATCTTCCGAAGCTCTCTTCTGTTCTCCACTGCGTTTCATGACACGGGTGCACTCACATGGGCAATACGCTCATACACATAAAATAAAAATAATAAATAAAATATTTTTTTAAAAACCCATGAACTGGCTGTCATAAAAAATTGGAGAATTATCCCCTTTTATCTTTCTTAGATTTTTTTTGTTACAGTTAAAAAGAAATTTTTGGTTCATGTAAAAACAGTATCTGCCATAGACATTTATCTTTTGTGCCCTGAAACTCTCGTTTCACCTTATAAAGTATTTAGGTAACATGAATTATTTCCATAATTTAAAAAAATGTTTATGGGCCAACAAAATGGCTTAGTGGGTAAAAAGCACTTGCTATGCAAGCCTGGCAGCCTGAGCTCAATTCCTGGAACTCACAAAAAGAGAGAATGAACTCCTGAAAGTTGTCCTTAGACATCTACAGGCCTGCCACTCCTGACTACACATATAACATCATACATAGAGAAGTACATACTGTCATACTAAATATAAAGATTTGAATGTTTACAATAACTTTTAAAGTACTGCTAATTTTCTGAGACACATTTCATTTTCTGTATTGTTTGTTTTGGGGGGATCAGTTTATTGGGGGACAAACCACTGGACTGCCTCCTGGGATTGGGGAGAGAGTGGATAACAGAAGCTTCTATGGGTTTTATAGATTTTATAGGTTTTATAGCTAGTTATGGGCTTGGGTAACTTTCATGACACGCTCTTCTGTGGATGACCATTGGAGAATAAGGAAACTGTAGCTTCCTGACAGGTAAGGAGTTTTACAAAACCTGGTCTCTACAGGAGGCTTCTGTCACCTGGTTTCTGCAGGGGGGGTTGCAACAGCTGGTTTCTGAAGAATGCTGAGTTCCGGTTTCCTCTTTGATTGAGGAACCTGTTAGCATGGCATTCTAGGGACATTGGCAGCACTGCCGCCATCTAGGGGACCTAACATTCCAGTCTTCTGTTGATGATAAGGGGATATGGGTCTTTTCTCAGCTATTTCCTGCTGGACACGGATTTTGGCAAGGAGGGGTAGCCTCAGAAGGCTGCAACATTGGTCTGAAGTGTGGGGCCAGGCAGGTAGCCGTACGAGACCTGAGGGAATTCGGTTAAGATCATTTTCACTGACTGCTAGCTAGGTTGTCTCATTGAGTCTTTCCTGATAAAATTTAAAAGACATGGAATAATCATCATGAGGAGGATGGATATCAGTGGCCACCATGTGGAGGCGGAATCCGGGGATTCTCAGGCAGTCCCCTGCATTCTTAGCCCATCTACTAGAAGGAGGCCAGAACTCAGTACTCTATGGTGGTCTGCTGAGCTTCTGTATTTTTTTTTTAACAAATAATTTTGTATTGTTCTTCCTTTTCCCTTTGACAGCACTCTTCTGGTCATGACAGGAGGGAAAGCTACAGTTCATACCAGAGGAACTCCTCTCCAGAGGACAGGTAAATAACTTCATATGCTCTGAGTGTGAATTACGGTGGTTTGTTATTTTTTAAGTTTTAATAAGAATTTTGTTCTTCAATTCCTAATGTTAAGATAGATACTGAAGTGCTGCTTTTGCTATTACTGTTGTCTTTACATTCACACAGCTCCTCATAGCTAAATTTTTATCCATATTACATTATAATTATGTTAAGATAAGAAATCCAAAAATAGTACCAGTAATGTATATTATGCATTCATAGTCACTAGTTCTTTCACTTACTAAGCTAGGACCATTAAAGATAGTGTCTGAAGGAGAAGCATCCATATGCTTTGTTTACTTACTCCACTCTGCTGAGTATCTTCTTCGACCTTTACTTAGGACTTTAATTTGTGAGCACTAAGTACTATGTGCCAGTTACTAACTCTATATTAAAATCTCCCCAGACATATACACAAGATAGGTTAACTAGATGTGTATATAACATATAAAATGTATCATATATATTTAACTTTTCCTAACATACTCTGGTTTTATTGAGTTGTGAGATTCAAAAAATATATCTAATGCTATCCATCCTTGTTTGCTAAATATTTTTAGCCTATTTTCAGTATTATCCAATACGCCAAGAATTAACAGCTTATGATTATTGTCTTTGGAGTAGAGTTAAATAGAACAACAAATGACATTGGTCTCATTTATTCAGTTTTGATAAATGAGCCAGCTGAATATAAGGAGGCATTGGTAAGATAACATTTTTCTGTCTGTTGTATATAATTTCCAGATATTCTCTCTCTAAGGGCAATATGAATCAGGATGGTAAGTTTGGGTAAATGAATTTCAGTTCTTTTATTGTGTATATGTGTAAACTTTTGTAATTCAGACTAAGGAATGAGAAGACATCGTGTAGAAGTTGCTTTAGAATCACTACTGTAACTGTCCTAAGTATATGATAGTTGCCATCAGTGCACAACTTCAGTTTTCTTGTATGTTAGATATGCAGAACAAGAAAGGTCCTCTCAGAATAGAGATTACTCTGATTACAGCCGGTCGAACCATGAACGTTCAAGAAGAGGACATTCTTATGATGGCAACATGGAATCACGGTGCGTGTTGGGGATTTTAAGTGTTGAAAACTTAACATTTCTTTACTTTTTTTTTGACTTTGAGACAAGGTCCTGTGTATCCCAGGCTGGCTTTGATTTATTATGTAGTAGAGAATGATCTTAAACTTCTGATCCTCCTGCTTCTGCCTCCTGGGTGCTAGGATCATAGGCATGCACCATCAAGCCCGGTCTCCTCAGTGCTAGGGATCTAACCCAGGGGTTTGTGCTAGTACTAACTAAGCTGCATGCTCAGCCCAATTTTTCTTAATTTTCTGTTAAAAAATAATAATAAAAACAAGAGTTCATGTTAATAAGATGTTTTTAGGTGCCAGACTTGTAATAAGGACTTTATGTAAATTATGACAGCAAATATGTATAAAGTAGATACTTTCTGCTTTATTAACTATAAAACAGAAACTCAAGCCTAAAGAAATTGCATAATTTTTGAAACCTAACAGTGTCAGACCCAGGTCTGTCTGACTTAGGGCGCAGGCTTTTCCTTGTGTTCTTGTACTACAAGGATTGGATTATGTGATTTTATTTTGTAACCATACTAAATGAAAGAAGTATATATTGTTAGAGAATAATCTAGATATTCTGGATTATGGCAGAGGACTTCTGAGAAAGAAACTCCTAATTTATAGGAGTTTTATTCCTAAATATAAATGAATTTTATTTGTGTTGGAAAACTTGACTACCCATCTGTTCCTCTAGCCAACAGGATTTATCTTGTTGAGAGAGGGCTAAAAGAACGTTTTGGGAGACATGTAACCTTCCCTCTAAAGCATGATGCATTGGAATGAGGGTGTTTGGAAAACTTCTTGGGGTAGTAAGAGAAATCACATAAAAAGCATTTATGTTTCACTCAAAACTAGACAGAGTTTTGTGTTTTTTGACCTGTACTCCCCCCACCCCTTTTTGGAGAAATTGATAATAGTTTTTATAGAGAGAATCTTAGAAGAAGTCATCATTTTTGAATTCCCTTTTAAAATCTCCCTAAAGAGTGTCCATGTTTACACAAGAGTGTTGAAAAAAATTTACTTAATGCAAAAAAAAAAAAAAAAATTCACTTGATACATCTGGGAAAAGAAATTGTAGGTAGGCGTAATGGTAGCATCAAAGGATGTCCAGTGAGCTGCGCCTGCTCCATACAGGAGAGAGGTTTGGCAGGAACTCTGCAGCAGGGCTGGAGTGTTCGTACTGCTTGTACCATGTGGCCAGCGCTCTTAGCTTTTGGACATTCGTGCTTATGGAGAAGTGCTGATGCAGATGATGACTCGTTTGGAAATTGGCTTTGGAATGTCTTTGTCTTAATGAGAGAGTGTTGCATAAAAGAAAGAAGGTAGACTTGAAATTCATGCAGATTAGAATTCCAATCTTAATTACTAAAAACTGTAGAAAGTTGATAAAATACTTTGTCAACATAGTGGTGACCCTGTTTCCTCAGTTGAGTAATGATATGTAGTAAACCAGTGACACTTGGAGTAGCACATAAAAAGCAGAATTCAGATTTCTTAATGCACAGTAGTTGACATAGGTTATAGTTTTGATCAGCTTGATAAAGCTAACAAATTCTATTATTTTAGTAGTTTATGAAGGAACTGTGATCAGTCTCGATCAGTCTTTCTTTCCAACATTTCCCTTGTCCCTTTGTAGGCATCTGTCTTTATTTCCATTTTCATAAAATGTTGTTTTTCCTGCCTGCTCTTGTTAGTCATCCAGTTTCAAAAACTTGTCTCCCACTTATTTTGTCATCTGAGTTTTACGTGTTTTTTATTTTTCTTTTGAGACAGGATCTACCTGTCACCGCATCCAGCCTGGAACTCTCTATATAGACCAGGCTGGTTTTTATTCGTTGAGATCCGCCTGCCTCTGCCTCCTGAGTTCAGGGATTAAAGGCATGAACCACTACACCTGGCTTTTAATGTACTTTTTGATATTCCTTAAATGTTATCTATTCCACAGTCACCAAGACTATCACCCCACTAGAATTTTGTTTCTATTTCTTTGCACTTTGAAGTTAAATATACTCTGAAATCTACAGTTGAAATTTTTTCTCATTACATTCTAATATATACATATTCTTAAAATTTTAATTAAATTAGTCCTGAAATCTTAGCTCATTAGGATTACCTTAAATGATACCCTATTAGAAATATCTGCTACCTCTATTATGTAAGCTAAGCATTTTACATAATTTCTCAATGCTCAGAATTCATGCAAACTACATAAAAATACATTTGAGGTTAAGGTTTGAAATCTAAAATAAATAGTTGATATTAAGGTTTGGTCCAAATTTTGACTTCAAAGCCTGTGGGATTTTTTATAACCCTTGATTATAACATAGTGTAAATCTACGTTTGGCCCAGTATGGAAACATAAAGTCTCAGGTGACCCACATAGTCATAATGTGAAGCAAGCAAACTAGGTATTTGAAGATAATGAATGATTTCATTTGGACTGAGAATTCTCTATCTGTACAGTAAAAGAACAAACAGCAATTGGAAGGATAGGAGTGTCAGCTAGCTGGGGTACATCAGTGTTTCCCAGGAGCCTAGGAGAATCAGAACCTTCTGCTGCAGTTCTCTCTGGGAGCATTCCTCATCCACAGCAAGAAGGAACACGGTGGGAAGTCAGCGGGCAGAGTTTGGAGCATCTGTCTTGCTGGGTAGTTGAGGATTATATTGTAAAACATTTTCCAAGATAATATGTTTTTAAAAAACAAACTAAGCTGTCCTCTGAGAAAAGAATAAAAAGTCAGGACTCTTCTAAGTTCCTTATGCTTTTAGAGAAAAGAAAAATCTGATTTATCTAAAAAGTGTTAAAGAGAAGATAATCTCATACAGTAAAAGAAAGTAATTGTGGCTAGAAAATAGTCCTTATTAATAACACTCTTACATGAATTTGATGTTATGAAAATAAATCTGGTTATACCACAAGCCAATCTTCTTAAAGTGCTGTTTTCATGCCACTCTTTCTCCTACTTAGAAACTAATGCTTTCCTATCATTTCTAATACAAAAAACTTAGAGGTGTATTGGTTGGTTTTAACATTACACTTTGATTCAAACTCATTTTGATTCAACTACTGTCATGCTTGATTCTTCATTATTTCTTGACTGTCTCATTCTGGCCTTAATAACCATGCTCAGTTTTTCTGTATGCATTCCTCCACTAATTGATGAATGCCACCCCTCCCCTCACCCACTCTCCTCAGCTTAGTTCCAGGCTAAGTCCTATAAAGCCTTTGAGCCTGGTGTAAGACACCTTTTTCTGGGTTACATACTACCTCACTGTCCTAAACCACTTCTTTCACTTAATAGTCTCATTTAGTGTACAGTACTTTGTAAAAATAATTTTTTAGTGTTCTCTCTCTCTCTCTCTCTCTCTCTCTCTCTCTCTCTCTCTCTCTCTCTCTCAATTCATTTTACAGAAGTAGGGATCGAGAAAAACGCAGAGAAAGAGAAAGAGATACAGATCGGAAAAGATCACGGAAATCCCTATCTCCTGGAAGAAGAAGTCCAGAACTAGCAGCAACCCAGAATTCTGCTCAGGATGAGCCGCACACAAAGAAGAAGAAAGATGAATTGGATCCTCTCCTCACTCGCACTGGGGGAGCATACATTCCTCCTGCAAAGCTCAGGATGATGCAAGAACAGATTACAGATAAAAACAGGCATGTTGATGTACTTCCTATAAAACAGAGATAACTTCATTGCAAAGGAGGCTGTTAAGTTTATACATTAGTCACCATGATAGTGGCCTTTTGTTGTTTTTTAACTTCATAAGCTCCTTTGTAGTGCTATATATTATTTGCTTTGATATTAACTCTGTGTGTGTGTGTGTGTGTGTGTGTGTGTGTGTGCATGCCGCACGCATGAGTATGTGGTTCATCTTGGAAGACAAACCCAGGTGTGGGTGTTATTTCTCGGGCATCATCTTTTTTTTCTTTTTTTGAGACGTAGTTCTCGCTGGCCTGGGTTAACTCAGTACACTGGCCAGCCAGCAGGCCCCAGGGATGCACTGTCTTCCCACATCTGGAATTACAAGTGTGCATCACCATGCTAGGCATTGGGGGGGGGGGCATGGATTTAGGGATGGTACTCCGGTCTTTGTGTTTCATTTGTGTGTCACAGGGCTTGGCAATGGTCTTGCGAGTTTTAGGGTGGGTTTTAGAAATGATTTCCATTAGTGCAAGTTTCATAATCATCTAGGCATTTTGCTCTTACAAAGACAGAAGTGACGTAATTAGTGAGAAGCATTCCAATCCATTTCAAAGCATTTTACTCAATTATGGAAGAATTATGATAGGTTGGGCAGTTAGCAATATATGCCATTTTATCTAGGGTTCTGGAAGATAATTTATATATACTTGAAGTCTGTTCATGGACTAAAAGGTACAAGTAAAAATAGATGCCTGGAAGAGAATTCTGTAGTCTTTTTACCTTCAGTAGATACTTGATTGAGTTAATTGAAAGCTTCTTAATTAGGAAATGTAATTGTACTTGATATTATCAATTTCATAGGGGAGATTGTGATCACATATTAGTGATATCTTACTGATTTGGTTAGTTGTTAAGACACAGATCTTGGTTCCTTAGAGATGATGACACACTGAAGGATGTGAGATGTGGGTCTATTCTACCTTAAGTCTAGGCAGTAAGCGGCTAAGTGCGTGATTGGAGAATTTTGAAACAACAAAATATGAATTGCAAGTCAGTCTGCCTTTTATACTACTGTCTGCTAGCAATTTTAAACAATGTCAGTGATCCTATCCCCACCAAGTAAGCCTCCTATTACCCTCCTTGCTATGTTACTATAAGCAGGGATTCCTTTGATAAGCTAGGAGTCGAAATTCTGGGAGTCAGTTCAATAATCTGGATGGGGGAAAATGCATTTTATTTTTACTGGTCTCTAACTTAATTTTAGAGTTTTTTTCTATTGGGAGTATAGGCATGGTAGTCCCAGTCCATTACAGGTAATCCATAATGCTGTGTAGAGCCATGTACCTTGGAGATTCAAGTGGATTCTAGGCCTCCCCCCATTTCTTTAATGGGGTTTCTTTAATGGTGTTTAATATTGGAGAACCTCTGTGTACTGTGTTCACATGTTCTTTCCAAGTTTTGAAGACTGTTTCAGTTTCCCCTGTAATCCTATGGATTATGTGTTTCAAGAAGGTTCAATTGACTTGGAAAAAAGTGCATGGAGGGGAAAAGTTAGGATTTCCTGCAGCTCAAACAGAGTCCACGGGCAAATAATTATAAAAAACATTTCTCCAGCCCATTTAAACGTTTAGTTTTGTTACCTCAGTCAAAAGGTATGTGAGATGTCATATAGTTTTTAAAAATTGGGGCTGGAGAGATAGCTCAGCAGTTAAGAGCACTGACTGTTATTACAGAAGACCAGGTTAGAATCCTAGCACCCACATGGTGGCTGACAACTGTCTGTAACTCCAGTTCCAGGAGATCCAATGCCATCTTCTGACCTCTGTGGGCATTGCACTTACATACATACAGGCAATACACTCATACACATAGAATAATAAATTGTTAAAAAATTAATTGCACTTATTTTAAAAGGTTTTCATTAAAGGTAAGTGTGTTATTGAACTTAACCAATGAGTGCTTGTAGTTCAGTATACATGAACATAAGAACACTACAGCCGGGGCTAAAGAGATGGCTCAGTGGTTAAGAGTACAGGGTGCTTTTGCACAGGACCTGGGTTCAATTTCCAGCACCCACACGGCGGCTAACAGCCGTCTGTAACTCTGGTTCCAGGGGAATCCAGTGCTCTTTTCTGAGCTCCTCAAGCATTGCATGACTCCGGTGCACTTACATACAAGTAGGTAACACACTCACACATAAAATAAAAAAATGTTTTGTTTTGTTTTTTTCAAAAATCACATCTTACATCTTAATAATCTTACTGTGTTAAAGAAAAGTGTTTTGTACTTTGGAATTATGGACAGTATATTAAACTAACCATCTGCATTATTATATTATTGCATTATACTGCATTGTGGAGTAAAATTATGTTGCAGTGAAAAAGAAAAGTAGTTTTTACCTTCTTACTGTAAGTTCTTGTTACTGTATTTGTTGACAGTTTTAATTATCATTAAACTCATTTCTTTTTAGCCTCGCATACCAGAGGATGAGCTGGGAAGCTCTGAAGAAATCAATCAATGGTCTCATCAACAAAGTCAACATCTCCAACATAAGCATTATTATTAAAGAGCTTTTACAAGAAAACATAGTTAGAGGAAGGCAAGTATTAGCCATTTTCTTTATATATGTCATAGTAATTTTTTCAAAAAAGCACAGTATATATGTGAGCAATAATCACTGATTTGATTTGTTATGCTACTTGATTATAGAGGTATTTGAGAATGTTTATTTAAAATGCAATTTTTTAAAAAAGTAGGCCATCTCTTCAGCTCCAGAGAATCTTTTGAAAACAAAATTATTCTAAGAAAGCATAAATTTTGTTTTCTTAAAAACATTTTAAAATTTATTACTAAGACAAACTCTGTTCCCAAGTAAGGCATTGACAATTGAATTGTAATTGAGCTTTTATAGTTCTTCACTGGGAAACAATTTTTCTTTGTTTTACATATTTTTCTTAAATATTACTGGGGCTGGAGAGATGGCTCAGCAGTTAAGACACTGGTTGTTCTCAGAGAAGACCCGGGTTCGAATCCCAGCACCCACATGGCAGCTAACAACTGTCTGTAACTCTAGTTCCAGGGGATCCGACAGCCTCTTCTGACTGCCATGGGCATTGCACGACACAGATGCACTTACCTACATGCAGGCAATATATACATACACATTAAAAAAAAAAAAGTAATTTAAAAAAAATTAAGCATTACTAACTCCTGTTTTTATTGTACTTTAAATAGAGGGCTGCTGTCCAGATCTGTTTTGCAAGCGCAAAGTGCTTCTCCCATTTTCACCCATGTTTATGCAGCTTTGGTGGCTATTATCAACTCAAAGTTCCCACGAATTGGAGAATTGATCCTCAAAAGACTAATTCTTAATTTTCGGAAAGGGTATCGAAGAAATGATAAGGTGTGTATGAATGGCTTGTGAGTAGATTGTCATGTAGGGTGAGACTGATAAAGCCAGTGTCAACAAAAGTAAGCATGCTGACTTCTCTGTAGAGCCCTTAAAACACGTTCATGAGAACTGTGTTGGTTCTACTGAATAGCCCTTGGCCACTAATACAGCACTGTACCTACATACTTGGCGGCTACTTACTATTGCACGTGCATTATTGTCATATTAAAGTTAGCCTGTGTGCGCCACATTTTAACAACACGTTAGTAGCTGTACATTTTATTGATACATGAAAATTGGGTTAAGTTGATGAATTAACTTTGTCTCTACTTTTACTTTTCAGCAACTTTGTCTGACTGCTTCAAAATTTGTGGCACATCTTATTAACCAAAATGTGGTAAGTAAATATCTTTAAAACTCGACCACACTCAGTGGCAGAAGACCCTGGGCTTGATGCCACTTCAGTATAGCTCTTACTTTGTTTTCATTTATAATCCTTGAGCTCACCTTAGGTGATTATTTTTGAAATTGTTTTAAATGCATCTAGTGTTCTTTAACAGAAGGAGAAATCAGAATATTTTGGGGTATTTTGTCTAATTGATCTAGCAATACTGTCCGTGATTACTTAACTACAAGTTATTTCTTTGAAGAATTTAATTCAATCCTTTCTTTAAAACAATAAAGTCTGTATCTTCTCCATTCCTTACACTGGTCCTGGTGTCCAGAACAACCTAATAAATATATTATATTCAGTGAAAATAGTTTATACCCAATAAGTACATAGTCATGTTTCTCTTATTTATTTACCTTAGCAGTTTAGTCACTTTTATTTTAAATGTTTTGTTGAATTCTTCCATGAGTATATGTCCTATTAAATGACACTGTTAAATGTTAAATACTCTGCAATTTACATTCAGCAATACATGAACAAGTTTTCCAGGTGATATTTCTTTATGCTCCATTATCCATCATTTCATTAATGCCTTTGGTTGAAGTTTTTTCTTCTCTTCTTTTCTGTCCCCTCCCCTCTCTTCCCCTCCTCTCTCCTCTCTCCCCTTTCCCTGCTACTGTAGTATCTCTGAACTGGCTTTAGGCTCCTTGCGTAGCCAGGATGACATTGATCTTGATCCTACTGCCTCTACCTCCCACGTCCTTAGATTGTAGCCATGTGCCACCAGGCCAGTGAGGATCAATCCCAGGGCTTCCCGCATCCTAGGCAAGTACTCCACCAACAAAGCTACATCCCCAGCCCCCATTTCTTTGTTTTTAAATCTCTTATATTCCATAAGTATAACTTATAGGAAATTTTGCTATGGTCCTATTTTGTTAATTTTAGAGATAGAAATTTGAGGTAAATTTATTTTTATGTAATTTTGTTAGATTTTGCTTAGCCCTTATGTTCACATCGTGTAGGAACTTACTAATGTTTAAGCTTAAGGGAGAATGGAATCAAAGAGATTAAATAATTGCAGTCCTTTTGAAATGCATGTGGGTTTATTTCTTCCTCCTCTTATACCTGGTATTCCCCCACAAACCTTCACTGCAAATACATATTTATGAAATTAATGTGTTCAATAATTTTGATCTACTTTGAGTGCAAATTTTATCATTTGTTCAGTTTTAATTTATTTTGTATTCATCCACCATTCAATGGTTTTGATTTAGCTTTTGTTCAGCTTTGAAAATACTAAAATTACTTGTATTTATATTCAATGAGTTCCTTCATGTATCACCATTTTTCATATAATAGATGTGTATGATGAAGAATTTGAAGTCACATTTAACCTTAATTCTCTAACTTCGAATAATTGTTTTCTTTAAAATTTTTTTCCAGTGAGTACTCTTAGAAATCTTTTACGTTTTAACCTAATTAGTTGTTATATAAATGATATTTTCTTACATAAGACAAGAGAAACAATTTCCCATGTCTATAACAGCAGGTACATGCTTCTGGTTTTGAAAGTGTATTCCAGTCGTATTAGAGATTTTTGTCATTACTTCCCAATTATATATAAGAAAATGATCCCTTGACTGTGATGTAAGACTCTTTAACACCACTCCTTCCCCCATTCCCCTCTTTAAAAAAAAACCAAAAAGCAGTGTTTTTGATGTTGTTCAGTTTAAGACTCCTTCCTATTTCAAAGGAATAACCAGCTTATAAAAGGCATACAGATGGTATTTTGAATCTTTTTCATAGCTCATTTTTTTATCAGAGTAAAGCCTCTCATTAAAATTTTATTCCTGCTGTACCCAGAAGGCTTTTCGTAAATTTTAACTTTTAAATATGGACCATTTAAATAGTTGAGTTTAAAAGAGGAAACGTGCCGGGTCTATAGTGGTAAAGTGCTTGCCTAGAATGCAACTTGCCTCGATACCCAATACTGCCACACACAAAAATAAAAATAAATATTCATAACTTTATGAATAAGAAATATTTAAGATATTTTATGATATAATTAGTATTATAACTTAAGGACTATTTGCTATTTAATCAAAGTGCTTATAGATTGAGTTGGAGAATAGATATAAAAATTATAGTCATGGAAAAAGGTATTAAAAAGGATTGAATTCTTTTTCATATAGTGACAATAAAAATAACTACCTCATTAAAAATTAATGCGTGATTATTAACTTACAGTTTGAGTTTATCTGGTATTTCTTATCTATAATGTGTAAGTATACCTCTAGAAATATATCAAATACTTGTATTCATTATAGCAAATTAAAATTTTACAGCAGTTATCTTTAAATTTTTAATATATGCATGATAAAAATTATAGAAAAATTATATGTGTATTATAGTTATAGAATACCATCTTTATTTGTTTATTTACTTATTTATTTATTTTGGTCTTATTGAGTCAGAGTCTTTCTATAGCCTCAGCTGGCCTAGAAATTGCTCTGTAGACCAGGCTGGCCTCAATCTCAAGAGATCTGCCTGCCTCTGCCTCCCAAGTGCTTGGATCAAAGGCATGTGCCACCATATCCAGCCTGGTTTATTTTTTTTTAAAGATTTCAATAGCTGGTAAAAACATTTTGTTTCTTTTATATGTCTGCATGCTGTTTTAGGCACATGAAGTTTTATGCTTAGAGATGCTTACTTTACTATTGGAAAGACCAACAGATGATAGTGTTGAAGTAGCTATTGGCTTTCTTAAGGAATGCGGCCTCAAATTAACACAAGTGTCACCACGAGGAGTCAATGGTAAGTGTATATCCTGGCTTATGCAGTCTTATATATATTTTTAAATTTTTTTTAATTATTTATTTTTATTTTATGTATACGAGTGTTTTTGCCTACATGTATGTAAGTACACCTTTGTCATGCAAAGCCCATGGAGGGCAGAAGAGGGTGTCAGATCCCCTGGACCTGGAGTCATGAATAGTTGTTAGCTGCCATGTGGGTGCTGGGAATTGAACCAAGGACCTCTGTAAGAGTAGCCAGTACTCTTAACTACTGAGCCATCTCTTCTTATGTAGTCTTAATTTGAGTATTACAACACGTATTAGTTTCTTTTCTGTTGCTGTGATACGACACTCTGACCAAGGAAGCTTATAGAAGGAAGAGTTTATTTGGCTTATGGTTCCAGAGGGATTAGGTTCCATCATGGCCAGGAGGTATGGCAGCAGAAAGCAGCCAGAGCAGAAAGCTGAGCACTCACGTCTTCAAGCAGGCACAGGAAGCAGAGACAGACTAGAAGTAAGCATGGCTATATACTCTCAAGGCCTGCCCCCAGTGATGTGCCTTCTGCAGCATGGCTATACCTCCTAAAGGTTCCCTACCCCCCGCCAACACCTTGAACTGGGGACCAACTGTCCAAATACTTGGAGCCTATGAGGGACATTCTCATTCAAACCACACAGCATTAATTTTTTTTGTCTTTTATTTTTAAATTTAGCTATCTTTGAACGCCTTCGAAACATTCTACATGAGTCTGAAATTGACAAAAGAGTTCAATATATGATTGAAGTAATGTTTGCTGTACGAAAAGATGGATTTAAGGACCATCCTGTTATCCTGGAAGGACTTGACTTAGTGGAAGAGGATGATCAGTTTACCCATATGCTCCCCTTGGAGGATGACTATAATCCAGAAGATGTTCTTAGTAAGCCTAGGCTGTGGGAGGTAGGAAGTGGGATGCCAACAGATATAGATTCAGAAAATAAACACTTTTTTTTTTTTTAAAGATGTTTTCAAGATGGATCCTAATTTTATGGAGAATGAAGAGAAGTACAAAGCTATTAAGAAGGGTATGTAAAATTTTATAAAATAACTGGAATAAGTAGAGCTATTTCGGTAGTACTATCGTATTGATAGGGATGTTAATAGAGCATTGCTTCTCACCAAACAAAACCTCAGTTCTGGTGAAGCCATTCTTTATCTGCTCCCTATCTGTTATTTTTCTTTGTTGTCTTTGTCCACGGTATGAATTCGTTCTGAATTACGTAGTTCTTTGCCCACTTTTTTCCCCTCTATTGTATATAAGTCTTAAGTTTCATCTGTCTTATTTGACTTTTCCACCACCTACACCCAGTGCCATCCAGTTGTTATTATTCAGTTAAGTGTTGTATCCGTTGTAAAGTGCTAAACTTTTATCTTTTCTTGAGGGTAGGTCACTGTTCTTCTGATACTATTAACCACAGTATTGGTGCCTACTGGATTGATTAACTGATTATTATTTGTACATTATTAGTCTACTGTAAGTGGTCACTTTGGATAGATTTTGGACTGTGATTTGTTCTTGACATTACTAGCTAGATGACTTGGAACCTGTTAACTTGTTTGATAGAAGTGTAAAGGTTACTTATTCATGGAAGGATAAATGCCTTGCATTGCCACAGGAAAGTGTTTAGACAACGGTTGCTATTAATACTATTACATTTCCCCATGCATTGTTTTTTCTAATAGCTGTTATCCAGGCCTGCTTATAAGAGGTGAATCAATTTGCTTACGTTAGGCTATGTTTGTACCTGAGAATTACTGTTCTGTACCCTGTGAGTAGAACAGCAGAGTCACTGAACTTTTGTTTTTCCCTGCATGCTATACTTCAGTTATATTTAGAGGTAAAGTTCAAGAGGCCTTCCATTTCTGTACAGACTTCCTAAAAACCTGGCACAATAAATGGGTTTCTGTTCTTTGATGCAAGTTGCTAAAGAGCTTTTCAGTATTGCCGGACAAATTCCTTTTCCTTTAGACTTTAATTTTCTAAACATGGGGAACTTCTTAAAATCCCCTCTTTTTTCCCCCCTTCTTTCCTTATGAACTTTTTCCCCTAAAGGTGTCCCTAAAAGGTGCCAAATGGTTTTTCTGGATATCTGGCATTCTTTCTTTTTTAAACTTGAGAACTTCCCGTTACTTCATTAGGATCTAGGCCATTGGCCCTCACATGGACTGGAATACTTTATTACAGTAGCTCTCAAACTGGCCTAGAGAGCCCCTAACACTCTTGAAAATTCTTGTAGATTCCTTAGAGCCTTAGTTCATATGTGCTAGATCTGTTGATATTTAAGTATTTATATATTAACTCATTTAAAATAATAAAACTGGTATATATCAGCATAAGCAACATTTATGAAAAAAATTATTTTATAAAACAAAGAAACTTAATGAGATGACATATTTTATGTATTTTGTAGATGAATGTCTGGCCTAATAGGAAATAGCTACTCTGTTGTTTTCTGTATTCTGCCTAATGCAACTACTGTCAGGTTTCATACAGAAAGTGTTGCTAGAAAAAGGAGGGATATTTTCATAGCCTTTTCAGATAAATGTATTATCTTCCTTGATACCATGATAATATTTGACAGCTCGTAGTTTCTTAAAAATTAATTTAGATTGAAATCTGAAATGGTATCAGTGAACTTTCACACTTGAAATCCTTTGGTATGTCTCTTTCAGTAGATTGAAGCCATGCCTTATTTTCTGATATTTGGGTCATACTGATTCACTGTTATATATATCTTCTAAATGTTGGTACTTGAACATTATCTAAATCAAATTAGCAAGTTAGTAAAAATAATCAAGAAGTCATGTTTGTTAATGTTACCACCTATTTCCTTCACAGAGTCTGTCCAGGTGTTGGGAAGCTTCAACAGCTCAGAGAAATAAAGATTTTACAAAAGTTAGATTTCCTCTTAAACATATGAATTTTATCATGGTGACAGATGTTGTTAATTGTTGTCCTTAAAATGATAGTGGTATTTTGTGAAAATGCCTGTCAAACACCTAACAGTATGAAGAAAATTTGCCATGTTTTTCCAAGTAGAAATGAAAAAGTTGCTACTTTGTCTTGAAACTCAGTCCTTATCCTTGAGGTAACCACCACCATTGGTCCATCTGTCTTTAAGAGAAGTGATACATTGTTACTCAAGGGTGGAGATTCAATAAAATCACATTTTACATGTTCATCAAGGATTTTTTTTTTAAGTGAAACAGACATTTTTTCCTTACCACAGTTGAGGCAGTATTGCCGCCTAGTGCATTTTGATGCCTTAATTTATGCTTAGATAACAGCAGTTTTAATCCCCATTGCTTTTATCTATCACTGTAGATATCAGCATAATGAAAGGGCAGATAATGTCTTAAAATTGTTACAAAACTGGTTTTGACTCCAGAACCACCTGACAGGTCTCAGGTTTTCCTGGTACTCAGACCATTCTTTGAAACTGCTGCTTTATTCCCTCTAATGAAATTCAGTTGCCAGTGCCTAAATCATTTCAGTAAGTAAATTCCAAAGAAGAGAGAGAAGATGATGTAAACTATCAGACAATTCACTTGACCTTCATTCTTTAGTAAAATGTTCCTCTAGAACTGGCATAAAAAATGGCCACAGCAGGAAGTGAGCACAGCTTTAGTAATTAGCACCTTAGAGTGACCCAGGTGTACTTTGTATTAGGTTTTACAGCATTTGGAAAAACAGCAGGAGTGCCTGTCTTCTTGCTGTTGAATACTAAATAGTTTCTTTTGTTTTTGGTCTGTGCTCTGTTGCATAACAAACTAGACACTGGATTATTTCTTGAAAATGAATTTATTAGAAATATTCTTTTTTAAAAGATATTTTATTTATTAATTTATGTGTATGTGTGTATTGCTTACATGTAGGTAAATGCACCCATGTTGTGCAATGCCTGAGGAGGACAGAAGAG